CCCTAGGTGTGATGCCACCATGACAGCAGAAGATCGTATCGGCAACGGTTGCTGCCAATGGCAGGTATCCACAGGCTCGTTGAATAACTCCTTCCAAGCATCGAGTCACTCGACGAGAAAAACGGCCCTGAAAAACACACTCTCTCTCGGTGTTCTGTACACAATACGACTGGGTTATGAAAGGATTCGGCCGCTTACAGTGAGCACGATGGTTAGGGGAGGACGGTCACTGCAAGAGTCATTGGTGGAAGGGTTGAGCGAGTGTGGATGTAGCAGGCTACCTCCTGCAGCTCTCCCAACAGTGACGTCGGCAGTAACTGCACCAGTTAGGGCGCAATTCGACCTGCGAGTTCTAACCATCAAATCTCTTACAGTTGTGGTGAAAGGATGAGATCCATTGGAAAACTTCACTTTGATGGGTGGTAAGGAAAAGCAGTCCTTCAACTTACTTCTATGTGGATGGGATACACTTCGGAAGCGCCTCGTAATAAGTACACATGGTTCGGCATCTGTTTCTGGAAAAAAAAATAGAATTACTAATGAACCCCACTCCCGCCTTGTCAATTCAAATGTTTTCGGGGGTGGGTTTGCCAGTGGGTGGGACAATCTGCTGCGTGCCACGTAACATTCCTCAGTACGAGCCTGTGCACTAAAATGTCCACCGAGAGTTTGAGATGAAAAAAAAAATCACGAATTCTAAAGTCACCCTACTAGGGGGGTTGTATACAGTGTCAAATATTTCAGTGTATTCGTGAGAAAGGACTGTCTTTGGTGAACGGCATTCCAGCCTCACCTTCAGAGCAAAAAGAAGTGTGATTGTCTCCAAGGAGTAGTATTGTCCATCAGACGTGTATCCACCGAGAAAGAGTACTTTTCTCTTTGGTGGCCATCCATTCGAATGTAGCCATCGATATACAGTACTGAAACTCAGCTCTCTATAGATGTAATGCTCGCCCATACGATCTATTATTATTTATCCATTTTTATGGGATTTCCAGCTTCATAGGAGGGACTGTGGCGTATGGATCCATTCAAGTCGTATTCCGATAAGTTCAGTGAACAGGTCTCGCGTTGATATAAACGGGTGGGGTCTGGCAGTTGTATACGCGTTGCAGCGAGGACGGCTTGGCAAATGGCGTTTTGTGATTACGCTAATAATTTGATGAAGGTCCCAATAGTTTCGCGGAAGCGCTATGCTCAGGTAGCTAGCTGCTCAAGCAACAATATTCAGTTTGTGTGCGTCACTGCATAAGGCCTGTAGCATTGCTCACAGTCGGGCGGTGTGAGGAGGGCGGGATAAGCCTCCTCCGGCTGCCTTGCTCTACCAATGTGATCGGTTAGTGATCGGTTCAGGAAGAAGGAAACCAGTGAAGGGGACGTGTCACGTGAGATTGGTCCATCATCCGATCGATCGCGACGATACCGACTGTGGATGTTACGCCAAGGCTTACGCTGCGTTGCGCTGCGGCGTGCGTGCGTCTGCGTGCGTGCGTGCGTGCCGGTGCTGCGTGTGCAGTTCCGTGACAGCCCGTGTGTGTGTGTGTGTGTGTGTGTGTGTGTGTGTGTGTGTGTGTGTGTGTGTGTGTGTGTGTGTGTGTGTGTGTGTGTGTGTGTGTGGTGGTGTGTGTGTGATAGCAAGTTGCTCGTAGAACGCTCACAACTGACAAAAAGGACTTCCACTTGCTACTCTCAACTAAGATGAGAATGATGCCTTCGCCATTCAATCTTTCCCTTTTTGGGACGCGCCATAAATATAACTTTCATTCAGAATCGTAGTAGGATATTGTATACACTATGGCCTATACAGTTCAGAACATGTGCGGGTCAGTGTTTCTACCGTCCTGGATAAATCTGATACCCATTTACCGTTCCCCTAGGGTAGAAAGCCTGGTTGGCCTGGCGGGAGCCCTGCCGGGATTTGACTGCCCGAGTGCGCGTGAAGGTGGTTGAATCCCAGGTCGTGAGGGTGGTTGAATCCCGGGTCACTGAAACCTTACGTCCTTGGGACATTCCAACGAAGATACTTCAGTTTGACTAAAAAGGTTTTTTGCGGAATTTTCTCGGGCGGGTAGAGAAATCGTATTTTGGCCATGAGCAACTAAGAAGACGAGAAAAATGTTCCAGAATCTGTGCGCACGAGTCCCTTCTGTTTCGAAGTGGCTTACTGAGAGGGTGTGGACACATCCAAACTCGAAGATAGAAACTATCTACGAGATATATTCCATTGGTCGATAGAAAATCGAGTTCTTGTTCTCAACTAGATTCTCGCCATGTTTTCCTTCAGTTTCCTTTACTCTTTGTAAGAAACGTACGCATAGCTGCCGTCCAAATTGCCATAGATCCACACATCAGAAGCTAACTGTAAGAGACTGGGCTCACGAGATAGAAGCTGCGAGACTGAGTCGAATAGGTCTCCGACCTGTGGATGAAGAACAATGAGTCGTTCGCAATGTATGCATCATAATGATTAATTACCTCTGTTGGGTCGAAGTCATACTCGTAGGGACCGTGCTCGACCATTTTCATTGCAAGTGACGAAAGCTTCGTCTGTACTTTCCGTTTCACCTAGATCAGAATTTTCTGGGACCAAGCTTCTAGGTTTGTTCCATTGTACTATTGGTTTTGAGTGTTTTATTTCTAGTAGATTGGATGTAATTGGCTGGTCTCCACAAACCATTGAAGAAACGCATTTCGCGATGAACGGATAGGCGGTTATTCTAACGTTGACTTACATTCATGGTGCCTCTCGACATGATTGAAAGCAACGGTAAGAAAACGAGGAGGACAAAATGGCGTTATGAGTCTCCGCCCATTCGATTATCGCAGGATGTGTATTTGAAGATGTCAAATGTGAGCTCGAAATTCACTCGCAATTTCCTCCTATTGACGACAATTTAGAATGGAAGTCCTTTTTTGCCGTGACTAGTGTACTGTGTGCCGCCAGTATGACGTTTGTGAAGATTACGAGCCTTCCTTTGCCACAAAGAAACTGGAGAAAGCAAGTAAGGAGGGACTCCGGGCTCAGTCCAGAAAAAATGGTGAATGGTGAGACGCTCTCCTTGGTCAGTTTGTCCGATCCGCCGCAGAGGACGTCTTACTTCCGTGGCCCAAATTATCGTGATAAGAACGCCATCTCTTTGTGGCTGAGGCAAAGCCCCGCCCCATACCACGCTCAACATCACTTCTGTCGAAAGAGTGGTGGTGCAGCTGTTCTGCTATTGGTTACCCATATTTGAGAGGGAAAAGAAAAATAAGGGAAAGAGCTGTTATCGTAACAAGTGAGAGGCTGTAACTCTCTTTCCTTTATGCTCGTACTAGTTCGTTTCGGCAGAGGCCCCATCTAGAGTATTTCCTTCTTGCTTTCTGTTTTTTTTCCTCTAGTGAGTTACTTACTACTTTTTCACTGGTATTTCAGTCCCACAGCCCAACATTTTTAATCGCCGGACGAGCTTTCAAGGGACAACACATGCGAGGATCTTACCCTTCTTGTCTGGGTGTTGTCCATTTGCGTAACATGAACTTCGAGGAACATATTCGCTTCCTGGTCCTCAATCGTTTCGTTCTGGAATGGAAACCTATGCCTAGAATATTTTATTGGACAATCTGAGAGCCCAGCTTTCCAGATCTTACCACTGGGAATTTGTATGCTTGACTGAAATGTCGCAATGTATCGTGAAGTTTCCGAAGTGACGAGAAGTTGGGACTGATTGTGAAGTATTTGTTGATTTCCTGAACGATATCATATGTGAAACACGGACCCCCGTCCCATACTTCTGGTACATGTTTAGTCCATACCAGAAGTGGCAAAGCATTTGGCATCTGATCAATCCACTGTGCTTTCTCGGCTCTTTTCAGGCTGTCTTTTCGTCGTTCTTCCAGGTGACTACTCATCAATGGAATTATTGAGATCGTAATAAGCAGTAGCACAATCAGGTACGGTAGCGCATTCTTGAACTCATTGCTTCCCACTTCTACTATACGAACTTGCTGAAATTGAACACACATATCGTTATGATCCCTGCAAACGATGGACGTGTGAGGCGTGAGTTGGATCGCCGCGAGAAC